ATATCTGTTACCGTTTCGGAGTTACGGGGTGTTTTTCAAAAATGTGCATTTTTAACAAATCTCTGTATCTTTTTTGCTATGGAAAATTTTCTATTTTTATGAAAACATTTCCAAAGTACCTTTTTACGTAGAATTTAATGAATTAATTATATTTTTTTAAAAATTAATAATTTAAAAGTTATCAACAGAAAAATTGATTTTTTATTTGGGACGCCCTGTGTATTTTTAAATAAATAAAAATAACTTAAAATAACGTTTCCAAAAATATAGCACACTTGATATTTTATTATAATACCCCTTCGAAATACAGAATTTATAGAAGTTTGCCACTTATAACTAGTAGGCTTTGGACCCCTTATTGATGATCAGCCCCTAGTGGAACTCGAAAACATATTTTTCCAGCAAGACGAGACACCGCCTCAGAACGCTGAAGTTATCGGCTAAATTTTGCAGCCAATTTCGATAATAATTGATCAGCTAATCAAGATCCCAGCCGTTGGCCGTCGAGGCCGCCGGACTTAGTCCCTATGCATTTTTATCTTTGCGAAAGAACAAAGGTTGTAATTTTTAAATTGCCTGTATAATCTAGACAAGAATTAGAAGTACTTAGCGGTTATACGAGGGTATCTTTCACCCCCATTAAGTTAATAAATTCCGCGAGAAATGTTAAAACACGGTGCCGTCTGTCCACAACAGAAGACGGTCGAACACCTGTAGCAAAATCTCATGTCTTGGTTTGCTATTAATTTTTATTGTTATTAGATAATATATACAGGGTGATTCCTGTAAGTCGGTCATGCTTTCGGGGAATGATAGGGGACGTCGAAATATTAATTTTGATATAGCACACTATGGGTCGGAAATGCCTCTTACGCAAGATACAGGGTGTTAAAGTTTTTGAAAAATAAATAGATATTCTTTAATAGTTTTTTAACAGTTGAAGGTATCGTTATAAAATTTTATTATAGGAGTCTACCTAACAGAGACACTTTAAATGTCAAAAGAAAAGGTTTCAGTTTCAACCAATGGCGTAGATGTGATACTCATCGGGTATTTTTTTCAAAAAAAGAAAAAAATAGTACGCCACTGATAAAAATAGAAAAGTTTTTTTATTTACTCGGTTTATTTTCAAGAAAAAATGTCTCTTGCAACTTTCTCCTATCTAATACCATTTTATCACAATTTAAAAGTAAATAAATTTATTAATGAGAACCTTAAATACAACGAATTATTATAACTAGAGGGCAGAAACACATGAGCATCGTCAGCTGCCTTCATCACTTACATGTGAATTTAAATAGGCCAGATATAAGAGATATCCCAGACGTTACACTTTGAGCATCTCTTAAACTAATAAAAACTTCATTGTTAATAATAATTAAGTTCTTAATTTTAAGGTAGTTATAATAATTCGCTGTATTTAAGGTTTTCATTAATAAATTATTTATTTTTAAATTGTGACAAAATGGTGTTAGATAGGAGAAAGTTACAAGAGATATTTTTTCTTGGAAATAAGCTGAGTAAATAAAAAAACTCTGAAATTTTTATTTTTACCAGTGGCGTACTATTTTTTTTTTAAATATTCGATGCGTATCACATCTACGCTACTGGTTGAAACTAAAACCTCTTCTCTTTACATTTAAAGTGTCTCTGTTAGGTAGACTCCAATAATAAAATTTTATAACGATACCTTCAACTGTTAAAAAAACTAGTAAAGAATATCTTTAATTTTTCAAAAATTTTAACACCCTGTATCTTGCGTAAGAGGCATTTCCGACCCATAGTGTGCTACATCAAAATTAATATTTTATATTATACGTCCCCTATCATTCCCCGAAAGCATGACCGACTTACAGAAATCCTCTGTATATATATATATATATATATATATATATATATATATATATATATATATATATATATATATATATATATATATATATATATATATATATATATATGTATAGTTTAAATGTGTTGATGTTGTTAAATATAGTTTAAATTGTTATAAAATTCTAAATCTCTCATTGCGAATATTATTTTTGTTTTAATTGCTGCTCACAGCTACAATTTTTTTGCATTACAGCCAGCGCGGTGCAAAGCCTACTGCAAAAACTCTATATTTTGAAATTATTAGAATCGAGCAAAATATCAAGTATGATATATTTTTGGAAAGGTAATTTTAAATTCTTTTCAATGAATTAAAAATATACAGGGTGTCCCATATAAAAATTCAAATTTTCTGTTGATAATTCTTAAATTATTAATTTAAAAAAATATATATATTTAAACCATTAAATTCTACGTAAAAAGGTGCTTCCATAGCAAAAAAGTTACAGCGATTTGTTAAAAATGCACATTTTTGAAAAACACCCCGTAACTCATAAACGGTAACAGATATCGACGTGCGGTTTTCACCATAATGTTATTGATAAAAATTGAGCTCCAGACACCGATATTAGTTTCCGTCTATCTTCTATAGAAAAAGGTGATTGCCCTTTAAAAGCGTCCAATTTGACCCACCCTGTACATTTTTTGCTTGGAATTCATCGCATTATTGATTTTTGCAATTAAAATGGATGATTTATTTTTCACCCTCGAGGAGGGGCTCACCCCTAGGGTGACAGCACACATCGCTACTAAGTAATATTTGTTTCTTACATATATCTCTATTCACTGTTAAAATTTTACTTCAATCGGTGCAGATGTTCAGAATGCTACAGTGCAACTTCCCTTGTCTGAGAAATTTTTTGAAATTAATTCTAGCATCCCCTATATTTAGATAATGAGATATCAAACAGAAATAAAGACAGAATACAAATTAAACTTATATTCTTTTAATAATATAAAAACGGTTTACTTAAAATTTAAAAAATGCATAAATACCTATCTATAAATACCAAATTAACAAAGGTAATAAACAATCATACAATAGCTATAACTATAAAAATAGTATTTCAGTAATCTTACAGTAATTCTTTTGTAGCTAGGAAACCAACTTAAAGAATGTCAGAGTATGTCAAATTCATCAATATTGTCGCGTTCAACTTCCAAAATAGCATTTATAGCGTCTATGTCATCTAAGTCTTGTTTAACACACTCATTTGCTCTTGTGACAGTTTTAGTATTTATCGCTTTTCCACCCAAAACTATATCATTAGATGGTTCAGGATGCGTTTCGGTATTCCTTACATTTTGATATTCGACATGTTCTTCCATTTGATGCTCGGGAACTTTTTCTAATTCACCTGCTCGTTCTTTTTTACATAAAGCCGTATCGCTAGATTGTTCTGGGTGATCTTCGGTGATCCTTTCGTTTTGATATTCAACATGTCCTTCGGCTTGACTCTCAGGAACATGCTCAATTTCACCAGCTGGTTCTTTTTCACACAAAACTACATCACTAGATGGTTCTGGATGCGTTTCGGTATTCCTTACATTTTGATATTCGACATCTTCTTCCATTTGATGCTCAGGGACTTTTTCTAATTCACCTGCTCGTTCTTTTTCACCCAAAACTATATCACTAGAATGTTCTGGGTGATGTTCGGTGATCTTTTCGTTTTGATATTCCACATGTCCTTCGGCTTGATTCTCAGGAACATGCTCAATTTCACCAGCTGGTTCTTTTTCACACAAAACTATATCACTAGAATGTTCTGGGTGATGTTCGGTGATCTTTTCGTTTTGATATTCCACATGTCCTTCGGCTTGATTCTCAGGAACATGCTCAATTTCACCAGCTGGTTCTTTTTCACACAAAACTATATCACTAGATTGTTCTGGATGCACTTCGGTGATCCTTACATTTGGATTCTCAGGAACATTTTTCAGTTCACCGGCTGGTTGTTTTTCACACAAAACTGTATCACTAGATTGTTCTGGATTCATTTCGGCGACTCTCTCTTGTTTAGTTCTGTCAGAGATATTTTCTATTACATCTGTGTTGTTCTTGTTACACATATTAATTTGTTCCTGTTCTAGTTTGTGTTGCTGTGACAAATAGGCACGTGTTCTAGGTCGCTCACGTTCAATTGAACCATTTTCATTACAAACAAAGTCTAAGTCTTTTTTAATATTCCCCTTTGTTCTTCGTGTCTGTTTCTTCCCTACAATTGGTTCTTTTTTATATGAAACATTTTCTTCCAGATCATCTACTCCCTCAGAATCACTGTCGCTACTTATATAAAGCGTTGCTTTACGGGCTTTTTTGCGTTTCTGTTGCGAATAGGAACGTCGAGGGGGTCTCACACGATCGACCTTGATACTTCCATCGTCGATATCTAAGTCTTGTTTATTGCGACTGCTTGTTCTTCGTGTGCGTTTCTTACCTATCGCCGATCCTGTTTTACAGACAGTGGTTTCTGGTTTCTTTTCAGAAACTACTAGCAGAAAGTTTTCTACTCCATCTGAATTATTTTCGCTACTTATATTCATCGGTTTCTTATAGGAATTTTGTTGCTGTCGTCGCGTATAGGAACGTTTCGGCTTTCTTATTTCAATAACGACTTCTTTATTGCACTTATTACCCTCAGACTCAGTAAAGTTACCTGCTTTATTTATATTACTCTGGCCGCTAGCGCTCGACATTTCTTTTAGTAGTTTCATCTGTTGCTGTGCCGGATTAAAACATTTTCCAGTTTTAACTCCTTCAACTAATCTAATATCGAGTTTTAACTCGTCTAAATCACTTTTTTTGGTCTTATTTCCCTGATCTTCGATAACGTTACCTGCTTTATTTAAATTACCCTGACTGCTGCCACTAATCGTTTCCTCACTGACTTTGATCTGTTGCTGTGTCGAATTTATATCGTTTCCAGTGTTTACTTCTTTTATAGCATCTAAACCTTTTTTACAGCTTAAATCTTCCGGATCTTCGGCAACGGTAGCTATGTTATTTGAACTACTCTGACTGTTTTGTTTGGTTTGGTTGTTAATACGTACAGGGGATTTTAGATCCTTCAAAATATTGTTTATCTGATCCTTTAATCGATCTATCATTTTTGATCTTAAAGGGCATTGGGACGGACTAGTTTGTGGTTTCTCTGGACTTGCGGTAAGCGCTGTGATCTTTGAAGGACTTGGAACTTCGTGTTTTCCGGTATTAGATTCAGGCACTTCGGGATCATCGGGATCACTTTCAACATACGTCAAACCTAAATGACTTTCCAATTTAAGGCGTTTTGCCGGTATCGGAGCCAATACGTCCTTACTACAGCTAGGTTGAGATACAGCTGGACTTTTTCTGGAATTAAATACGCTTTGCTGGGGTTTCTTTTGTACGTACGAACTTTCTAAAAAATAAAAACAAATATACACTCAGATGCAAAAAAACCCAACAGATAAATTTTTGATCAAATTTAAATTGTTATATTTTTGTTATTTCTAGCCCTGTTTTCATGCTTTTTTTAGCAAACTGTATATAATTATGTCAACTCTAATTCGTAAACTCAGTTTTTATAAACTTTAGTATATGGCATATTGTACAGGGTTAATCGGGGGTTGATTTTTACACTAACTTTAAAACACCCTGTGCAATAATTTCGTGTGCAAATTTTCCTAAAATATAATTTTACGGTCAGCAAACCCATGTCTCCTGAGCATTTTTTGGATCATGTCAATACATGTCTTGGTTAATTTTTAAGAGCGAAATGGGCTTGCCACCAACAATTTTCAATTTTTTCAATTATCATTTCTTTTTTGAAGTTATTTTTCAATGTGACAAGGGGGCTTTGGTAATTATGGTGAACTATATACTACTGTTACGTTTTTCCTCGGTTCCGTGTGGATAGAAAGTCAGAATTTATTTAAACACAATTTATTTACACTAAGTAACAAACAATAACGATTAAAAAGACTTAAAGAACTATATACCATGGCTCCTGAGCATTTTGTTTTTTGAATCATGTCAATCCATGCCTTCGTTATTTTTTAAGAGCGAAATGAACTGATCAATTTGCAGTTTTTTCAATTATCATTACATTTTGATGTAATTCTTCAATAATATTGAAGAATTACATTCATATTATGACGAGATGGTTTTGGTGACAGTTGTTGTAACATCATATTACGCTGCATTGGATACTCTATACTAAATTTAAAAAAAACGTTAAAGACTAATGATACAGCCTGGGTTTTAATAAACATTAATAACAATAACAGAACTAACGATATTAAAGAAAACATTATCATCATACAAACAGAAAAAAAATGTAAAAACTACCCTAATACTTTGTATTGCCTCCCTTGGCTGCTATAACTGCCTGTATATGTCCGTATTCATATTATCATTGAGGCTGCATATATCATATTGCGTTGTTTCCCCATCTTCTTTCAGGACCAAGCGTAGTTCATTTAATGAAGCTGGTACCGCTTCGTGACCTCTAACCCTCCTGCCAACATTTCCCAAACGTCGAACATGATGGGCAGTTCATAGTAGTATATATCACAATAATCACCAAAGCCGCCTTGTCATGTTGAAAAATAACTTCAAAAAGAAATGATAACAATTGAAAAAATTGCAAATTGTTGGTAGCAAGTTCATTTCACCTTTAAAAATTAACCAAGGCATGTATTGACATGATCCAAAAAACAAAATACTCAGGAGACATGGTTCTGACAGTAAAACTATATTTTAGGAAAATTTACACACGAAATTATGGCACAAGGTGTTTCAAAATTAGGGTAAAAAATAACCCCTCGATTAACCCTGTATAATAAGCCAAATACTAAATTAAAAAAAAACTGAATTTACGAATTAAAGTTGATATACTTATATACAGCTTGCTAAAAAAAAATAAATGAAAATAGGGCTAAAAATAACAAAAATATAATAATATAATAATAATAATAGCTCCTGTATATAGCGTTTAACGCCTTGGGATGACCCGTAGCAATGGGGTGGCCAACTAAGAATGGACGCCGGCTGTATCTCAGAAACTACTAACCGCATAACTTTGGGAAAAAAATTATAATAAGTAAATCGACCAAGAGAAATCGCTGGAAATTATTTTCAAGTTCGAAAAATGCCCTCTAGGGGGCGTTTCTCTAATAACCAATCAGAAAACAGGGGTTTTCTCCAAAATATGCAGGTGAACAGGTATTTTAAATATTACTATTGTAATCATCGAGAAAATTGTAATTTTTTTGATATAAAGTATTTTGCTCTATCTCATAAAATAAAGTGGTGGGGGAAGGTTAAACTTGCTTTTATTAAAATAAGGATAACTCTGGTTTAGGTTACGCGATTTAAACAATGATCTCCAGTACAAATTTTGTTTCCACAATTATTTTCGTGGTAGCTAGAGGGCGCTGTCTGACATCATAACAGATATTGCGCTTTTGCGTAAAAAATTTAAATAGGAGGCTATATTTCCCTTTGCACAGTTAAATAGAGCATAAAATTTCTAAAATATCAGCGCAAACCGCAACTTTCTATCTTTTTTCTAACCGGAAATATTAAGAGAACAAATCATGTTAGGCTGCCGCTTAGGATTATATGGTCTAAAAATTATAGTAGTAGGCTAGGAAACAAAAAGAGGTAAATTGGTTACGTCAAAATATCAAAACATATATTTTAATTTCATTTTAATACCATTTAATTACTATTTATCCATGTTCGTTCTTGATTCGACCCCATAAATTAAAACCCAGGCATATTGAATCCGATGACCCAGCTGGCCATGGAAATATGCCGCTCTAGCGTCTCTATCTACTAAAGTAGGTGGTATCAAAGAAGCCCCACACATTCACAGCAAAATAAGCGGTTCCACTGCCTCAACTACACTAAATGCATCCATGCTGATGAAATTGCAACAAATGCAATTTCATCATGATGGATCCTCTAATAAAATTGGCAATTCATTTCTTAGAAATTATGGATAGTTCATTTCATTCAGATAATTAAAAAAGTCCAATCACATTTGCTATTCTAGAATACCTACGCAAACATTTACCGACCAACGGTCTTGGGGCTAAACTACTTGCATCAAGGGTAGATTTGGACCAGTAGTGCATATTGTTAAGATTCGCACCTTCGATCGGTGCTATATGAAAAGTGACCCAAACGACATAAACTTTATAATATAATAATAAATAACACAAACAACAGGTAAAACACGAAAACAAGTGAAATCAAAAGGACGAGCTTGGATTAAATAATAACTAAATGATGTTACATGAAATAAACCCCTAGTTTTCGGCCATACGAAATTCGGCGGTTTTCTGTTAAAAGCAATATGGCGGCACAAAATTCCTAGAAATTATTGGTTGTCCGACTTTCGGACATTTTAATCTGAGAACTCATAAACTACTTAAGTATAATTAATCAAAAAATTCGTAAAAATTATATGGATGGATGATAATGTTACATAAACACGTTTAAATAATTATGACGTCATTTTTTTTAAGAAAACGCCCGAAATTCGGATGCATGAAAACTGAACTTAAACGTTTTGATATTTTGACGTAACCAATTTACCTTTTTTTGTTTCCTAGCCTACTACTATAATTTTTAGACAATATAATCCTAAGCGGCAGCCTAACATGATTTGTTCTCTTAATATCTCCGGTTAGAGAGAAGATAGAAAGTTGCGGTTTGCGCTGATATTTTGGAAATTTTGTGCTCTATTTAACTGTGCAAAGAGAAGTATAGCCTCCTATTTAAATTTTTAATGCAAAAGCTCAATATCTGTTATGATGTCAAACAGCGGCCTCTAGCTACCACGAAAAAAATTGTGGAAACAAAATTTATACTGGAGATCATTAAGGAAGAAAAGCTCTTTTAAACCAGCCCTAGTTTGTTTAAATCGCATAACCCAAACCAGAGTTATCCATATTTTAATAAATGCAAGTTTAACCTTCCCCCACCACTTTATTTTATGAGATAGAGCAAAATACTTACATAAAAAAAACCATTTTCTCGATGATTATAATAGTAATATTTAAAATACCTGTTCATCTGCATATTTTTGAGAAAAACCCTGTTATCTGATTGGCTATTAGAGAAACGCCCCCTAGCGGGCATTTTTCGAACTTGAAAATAATTTCCAGCGATTTCTCTGGGTCGATTAATTTTTTTCCCAAAGTTATACGATAAGTAGTTTCTGAGATACAGCCGGCGTCCATTCTTAGTTGGCCACCCGGTACAGCTTGCCATACTAGAGCCGTTCGGTATACAAGGAAGGTAATGTGGCTAGCACTACGCTTCTACCGCCTATTATTACTTCAGGATTGTGAATCCCAAGTACTCATTTAAGGCTGAGTCGACCTAGGTACCCAAACTATTTTTATTTTAATAAAAATAGTCGGCTGATGAAATGCCGGATGTGGGAATCGAACCCACTACCTTCAGATTGGTAGACGAGAGCCTGTACCTCTACGCCACCGAGCACAAAAATTACAAAAATATAACACTTTAAATTTGATTACAGTTGAGGGTTGGAACCTTTGGTGTCACACAGCAAAATAAAAACACTAAATCACCACAATACACCAAAACACTTTTACTTTTACACTGGACGCGCGTTTCGCTAACCATGTTAGCATCATCAGCAGATGATTATAAACTAAGTTAAACTTTAGTGGTGATTTAGTGTTTTTATTTTACTTTAAATTTGACCAAAAATTTCTCCGTTGCGTTTTTTTTTGCATCTGAGTGTATTATTACGTCTATTGTCACCTGGAATTGTTTGCATTATTTTACTAACAAAATCGAAAACAATTACGTAAAATTGGAAAAAAAAGTGTAATACGTGTAATTTTCTTCAATTTTTCTTAGAAGAAGAAGAAAATACATGTCTGTGAAATGAAATCCAAAGAATACTCAAACAAGCAAGAGATAAAAGTTCATTTAATAAATTGAACTGTGATAATAATTGTTGTCGGTAAACTAACCATTCTTTCGACGACTTGAAACATTTTCTCTGATTTACTTTCATCTTTTTTACTAAATACGCAATTGTAACCGCACATATGGTAATCGCAAAACAATTTCCGATGCACGTGATTAACTTTGAGTGACAAACGACAGCGCTGCCAGATTATGATGGATTTATGAGATGAATCTTAATTTACGAGTGACAAACAACATATTTATTACATCACCCAAGCAGCATTCGGTCGTCGGGACAACGTTGTCACGCGACAAAACGTCGGGGCGCAACGTCGGCACAACCTTATGCCAACCTTAGTCTACACTAGTTTGGAGAATAATTTTTAGTCGAAACGACGTTGGATACCTACGTTGGCTAGTAGCCTAATTTAGTATAAACTGCAACGTTGTTTAAAATCCTAA